GGTGAAGTCCCGCTTGCACTGGGGACCCCTCGGCGACCCCTCAATGGGATATTGCTCCCAGCCCCGGAGTCCCTGGCCTGAGGTGCCCAGGCGCCGTGAAGGCTCGGAAAGGGGACCAGGACCGGGCGCTGGACGGGGGACTGGGCGGGTATCTTCCATACCCCCCAGTCGCTCGAAGGATGGTGACGGGTACCATACTCGAAGCGTCCCCAGCGGCGCCCTGGTGCCCGCGCGTGTACGTGTCTCCGCACCTCCAAGACGCGACTCGCGTGTCCCCCGACTCTGCCCCACGCCCTTCCCCACGCGCGACACCGGGGCTGGGGTCTCTTCTTCGGGAGCGGTGAAGGGGCGGGAGTAGCAGGGTGGCAGAAAAGACGCTGCTCGACCACCACCTCCTCCACCACCTCCGATTCCGTTTCCCTCGACTCCCTGCTAGTCCCCGTGTCATTTCTTTGTCCTCGAGACTGGCCTCATCGCGACCTTTCCCACCACCCCACCCCTCTCACAGCGGTGCTCCTCCCCAGCAGCCCTCCGAGGCTGGTGGCCGTGACCTCCCTGGGAGGCCAGGCGAGGCGAGGGGGAGGGAGGGGGCTGGAATTCGCGCGGAGCCGCGGGGCACGGAAGGCCTAGGGCCCAGATGGCAGATTGCAGCCCTGGTGGCCATGGTATTTTTATGGGCATGCCTGTTGCCCAGCGAACCATTCCTGGGCCCTCCATTCAGCCTCGGAGTGGCACCTGTATGGGGCTCTGGCAGTGCACCCTCTGGCACCCCACTCTCACAGGGTTGGATACCCGGCCTTCAGGGGTCTTTAGGAGGGAGTGCATGGGACCAGACCTGGGGAGGGAGGGCACCCTTGGGTCCAGTGGGCTGTTACTTCCTGAGCCAGCAGCCAAGACTGAGTGTGCTGGGCCAGCGCTGCTAAGGGATCCCGGAACTTCTGGCCTCGGCCAGTCAGTGCCGATCCCCCACATCCACCCACAAAAGTGATGAAGCCCCCCCCCCCGCCTCTGTGCAGCACCACTGCCAGCCTTCCCTCAAGCTCTCCACCCAGTTGAGGTTGGGTGCTGAGCACGGCTGTGATGCTGCCCAAAGGGAATGGAGCCTGTGGGGTACCAATGCACTGTGGATGCAGTGTGCCAGGTACCATCTCTGTTTAATGGAAAAGTTACAGCGAGCTGGGTGTGGAGGCCCGCGCCTGTAATCCCAGCACTCCGAGGCTGAGTAAGGAGGATCAGCAGGAGTCTGAGGCCAACCTGGTGTACACAGCGAGTCCATGGGGCAAACAAAACAAAACAAACAAACAAACAAAAAACATAAAGAGACCCTGTCTCTAAAAGAAAAGAAAGTGCTACTGCACTGGCCTGCAGTTGTCCCAAAAGCACTTATCTCGCACTGCCAGGCAAGGAGGCTGGTGCCACCTTAGTCCCGCAGTGGAAAGCAGACAGCCATGGGAGGCATCTTCAGCTCTCTGAGCTCACGGCTCTGCCCACAGCCCTCCGCAGCCATGCTGCATGCTTTCCTTCCCTGTGCAGCACTGGGGACACGCCCAAGCCCTGATGCTGGCATTCATGACACCTGCCCACCCTGTGCTCTCCAAGTCCCCTCCTTGTCCTCCTTCTGGGAAGGCTCAGAGCAGAGAGCAGAGGTCTCTGTGGTGACCGCACGCAGAAGGGGATTCGGCTCTGGGAGCCTGAATGCTCCAGGCACTGGATGGACTGCAATATTCGCTACCTTCAACAAAGTGGAGAGTCCAGGCCAGCAATGTGTCCCATCCCAGGAGCCTCCTAGGTGCCCCACAGGAACACGGCCCTTCAGCCGTGCCAGTCTCTCAACAGAGACCCTGGGTGGCACGACCTGACCTGTGCCTCAGTGCTGGTGGCACAGAAGTCAGAACCACTTGGCCTCTGAATTAGAGGGAGGTGGGCGTGACAGCTGAGAGCCCGTGACAGCTATTCTGTCCACAGGTGGAGTGGACCTGTTTTCTTGCTGTATTACCCCCGCTTTTTTTTTTTTTTTTTTTTTTGCAGAACCGGGGATTGAACTCAGATCCTTTTTTTTTTATTTTATAATTTTTTTAAAGATCTTTTATTTATTTATTTATTTTCATTTATTTTTTTTTGTGTGTGGCCAGCTCAGCCCACCAGGGGGTGGGTCTGGCTGGCATGTGGTGCTGGGGGATTGAACCGCGGTCCCTGTGCTTTGCTTAGCTTGTTCTAAGTAGGTGCTTTAGACCACTGAGCCATCTCTCCAGCCCCTGAACTCAGATCCTTGTGTTTGCCAGTCAAGCACTTATCCTACTGAGCCATCTCCCTGGTCCCTACCCCCGCTTTTAACGTAGATCCAAAAACTTTGTTCCTTCTACCTTCAAGAGATACTGCGCAGCGCCCCTTATTTGTTTATTTTTTTAATTTTTAAACATCTTTTATTGATTTATTTATTTGGTACAGGGTCTCGCTACACAGCTCAGACTCGTAGTGATCCTCCTGTCTCAGCCTCCCCAGCGCTGGGATTACAGGCGTGCACCACTACATCTGATTTCGGTAACTAGCACAGCACACCAGCATGCAGTACCAGGGATCAAACCTGGGTCCTTGTGCTTGCCAGGCAGCCACTTGTGCTGCTGAGCTATCTCTCTGGTGCCTAGGGTGTCACTATGTGGTTCAGATTGGCCTTGAACTTACTTTGTAGCCCAGGCAGACCTTGAACTCAAGCCTGCAGAGATGACAGGCATGTACCACGTTGCCTAGCATGCGCTATATATTTCCAATAGTTAAAATGTCAGGCTATCGCTATCTCCACCTGCAATCTGCTTCTGTCTGCATCTGACAGTCAGATGGTGGGTGGACAGATGCAGACATCTGGTGTGTGCCACTGTGCTCAGCTGCCCAACCCCCTCAGCAGGCACAAGTGACAAGGTAGCATTGCTTCTGCGAGCTCCTGATCTGGGGTACCTGGGAGGATGCCCGTGAGGGACAGGGTGGGCTCTGGGTGCAACGTAGTTAGCGTGTTCAAGGTCCCGGGCTCTGTGTCAGCAGCACGGAAGAAGCAAACAATGGGCCCTCCAGGGCCAGGCATGATGGTGCATGCCCGCCCTGCCATCCCAGCAGGGGAGGAGGGCGGAGGCAGGAAGAGCCCTACGAGCTTGCAGTCCTGGAGCTAGAACTTGGGAGCTTGTACTTGCCAGGCAAGCGCTTATGCCACTGAGCTATCTCCTGGTCCAAGCACCTTGGAGTTCAGCCGGAGCTAACAGTGATTTCAAAACCAGCCCGGAGGCTGAGCGTGGTGGCACACACCTGTAATCCCAGCACTCAGGAGGCTGAGGCAGGAGGATTGCCTTCAGTTTGAGGCCAACCTGGGCTAAACAGGGAGCTCCAGGCCAACCTAAACTTCACACTTGAGCCCTATCTCAGAAAGACAAAACAAAATAAAAACGAGGAAGGTGGCCACCTGCAAGCCAGGAGCCCTCCTCGCAGGGAACAGAGCCTGCTGGGCCTTTCACTGGGCCTTCTGAGCCCCAGATTCCAAGCCACTGGGCTAGGGCCTGTTCCTGTGGCAGGAGACCATCCAGGCACATGAGAGCCATCTGTCCCTCCAGCTTGTGTTTGTACTTAGCCCGCAAAGCCCCTGGCAGATGAAGCTCTTGTCTTTTTCCCTCTTCTCCTTCCTCCCTTCAGGAGGAGGTTCAAGGCCACTCAAGATGACAGGAGGTATACTGGGATCAGTGACACAGCCTGTGATCCCAGCACCTGGGGAGGCTGAGGGAGGAGGAGGGCAAGTTCCAGCCTAGCCTGAGCAAGTCAGCGAGACCCTGTGTCAAAAGAAAATATTCAGGGCCAGGGAGATAGCTCAGTGGAATATGCACTTGCCTGGCAAGTACAAGGTCCTGAGTTCAATCCCTGGTACCGCAAATTAAATAAATAAATAAATAAATAAATAAATAAATAAATAAAGGTGAGGATGTAGGTCAATGCAAGGGCCCTGGGTTCAATCCCCAGTAGGAGGGGAAAAAAGACAGTGACCTTACAAAAAAGAAGCTTCCTAAAGACCAAAATAATGAGACTCATGACAGTGACCAAATTGTGGCAGGTGAGCAGTGACTGGGACATTGAACCCAAGAAAGCTGGGGCAGTAGGGAGGCTTCACTGTGGAACCCACATATGGGCAGAAAGGAGCATGGGCCTCCAAGTGCTAGGATGACAAGCGTGTCCCACATCTGCCTATACCGCTTGGCAGGAAAGTCCCAAGCCTACCCAGGTACTAGCAGAGGGTTAAACCCCACGTCTTGCTGGGAAGTGGCCAAGTTCCAGAGCAGCAGGTGGGGTGGGAGCTATTGTTGGGCCTTTGAAAAAACACAATCTGCTGCCAGCCCAGTGAAAAGGCATGCAGGCAGAGTAGCTCTGTATTGGGTTTGTTTGTTTTTTGTTTTTTGTTTTTTTTTTGCGGACCCGGGGATTGAACTCAGGCCCTTGCACTTGCCAGGGAAGCTCTTATTCCACTGAGCCATCTCTCTGGCTCTGTGAAAAACAGAATAGCTTGGGCCAGCGAAACGCCTCAATGGACTGAGCGCCTGCCTAGACAAGCACAGGGACTGGGTTTGATCCCCAGCACCACAGGCTGTGTTGGCCCTGCCCCCGGGCAAACTGAGCCAGCCACGGGGACTGGGTGTGGTGGCGCCACCTATAATCCCAGCACTGAGGAGGCTGAAAACAGGAGGATCACTGTGAGTTTGAGCTGCCTAGTGAGACCCTGTGTGTTTGCTTGGTTTTGGGTTTTTTTTGCGGAACCGGGGATTGAACTCAGACCCTTGCGCTTGCTAGAGAAGCGCTTATTCCACTGAGCCATCTCCCCAGCCCCCCACTAAAGTGTTCTTGCTAGGTGTGTTGGCACACACCTGTTATTCCAGCTCTTGGGAGACTGAGGCAGGATTGCCTTGAGTTTAAGGCCAGCCTGGGCTACAACAGCAAGATACTGAGGGGGCAGCCATCTCCCACACGGCACCATGGTGGCCCCCAAACCCCTTGTGAAGCCCAAGATCATCAAAAAGAGGACCAAGGGCTGGGGAGATAGCTCAGTAGAATAATTGCTTGCCTGGCAAGCGCTGGGTCCTGAGTTCCATCCCCAGTACCACAAAACAAAAAAAAAAGAGGACCAAGAAGTTCATCCAGCACCAGTCAGACCGACGTGGCCAATTTCAGTGCAACTGGTGGAAACCCAGAGGCATCGACAGCAGGGTACGGAGGAGGTTCAAGGGCCAGATCCTGATGCCCAACAGAGGTTATGGAAGTAACAAAAAGACCAAGCACATGCTGCCCAGCGGCTTCCGGAAGCTCCTGGTGCAGAACGCTAAGGAGCTGGAGGTGCTGCTGAGGTGCAACGAGTCTCACTGCGCAGAGATTGCTCACAACGTTGCCTCTAAGAACCGCAAGGCCACCGTGGAAAGAGCAGCCCCGGTAGCCATCCAGGTCACCAATCCCAGTGCCAGGCTGCGCAGCGAGGAAAACGAGTAGATGGCCTGTGTGCGTCTTTATTTGTGCTTCAGTAAAACCACAAAAACTGCAAATAAATAAGCCAAAAGCTAATAAAATAAAACAAGGTAAATTATATGTCATCAAAATCAAAAACCTGGGGGCTGGAGAGATGGCTCAGTGGTCTAAAGCACCTACTTGAAACAAGCTTGGCAAAGCACAGGGACTGCGGTTCGATCCCCCAGCACCACATGCCAGCCAGCCCCGCCCCCTGGTGGGCTGAGCTGGCCACACACACACACAATAAATAAATGTAATAAATAAAAATAAATAAAAAAAAATCAAAAACCTGTTTTTCCCCCTTGCTACTGTGGACTGAACCTGGAGATGCCACATGCCCAACCCTTTATTTATCTATAAATTTTGACACAGGGTCTCACTAACTTGCCCAGACTGCCCTGATTTCCTGCCTCAGCCTCAGCCCAAATGGCTGAAATCACAAACTTGCAACAAGATGAGACAGTAAAGTGGAAAGGTGAGCTACAGAGTGGAAGGAAAGGTTTGCAAAATGTATATTTTTAACTTTTTTGGTGGGGGGTACCAGGGAGTGAACTCAGGCCCTTGTGCTTGCCAGGCAAAGGCTTATTCTACTGAGTCATCTCCCCGGCCCCTTAAAATGTATATTTTTAAAGGACTTGTGTATGTAACTTACCACTCAAAAGTACACTAAGCATTGTCAAAAGATTTCTCCGGTGTGCTAGCAATGAAATTCAGGGCTTGTATATGCCAGGCAAGTGCTCTACTACTGAGCCAGCCCTGGGAAAGCTGGCGCAGGTCCTTACTGGCGAGTTCATCAAGGAAGATACAGAGCTGGGTGTGGCCACACCTGTGATCCCAGCTTGGGAGGCTGAGGCAGAAGGGTTGGTGAAAGTTTGAGACCAGCCTGGGCTACAAAGCGAGCTGAAGGCCAGCCTGAACTGTGTAGCAAGACCATGTCTCAAAAAAGATCCCCCTGGGCCTGGGAGATGGCTCAGTACAATAAGCGCTTCCATGGCAAGCGCAAGGGCCCGAGTTCAATCCTGGGTACCACAAAAAATGAAAGAAAAAGATTCCCCCCCAAAGACAAGTGTAAATTAAAGGCCCAGCAAAATGCCGCTAAAATTATCATAATTAAATGAGACTAGAGCCTGGTGGGCTTATCAGTGGCATGGTGCATCTGGAAAACAATTTCATGAGTTCTTTTCATTTCTTTCCTTGTTTCTTTGAGAACAAAAACTCTCAACCGTCCCGCTTCCGCCTCCGGAATGCTGGGAATACAGGTATGCGCCACTACGCCTAGCTAGGAGACCTCAAGAGTTAAGTGAAATCAATTACACGTGAGTTTACATTTCACACAGTGACTTTCTATGAGAAAACCAAATTATAAATATGGAGCAATAAATGCCCATAGGAAACAGGGGAGGGCACGGAGAGAGCGAGGCGCCAGGAGATGAAAAGGAGCGGAGGCGTGACCCGGCGGGCCGCTGGGACCGGATCCGATCGTCGTCGTGGACTGCCAATGCGGCCTACTGAAATGTGCTCCCAGGGCTGCAAGCTTCCCTCACACTAACCCGCCCTGCCTCCTCCGTGGTTTCCTTCTAGCTGAGTTTTTCCAATAAACTTTGCCTCTGCTAAAAGAAAATTTCCACTGGATGGGGTGGTGCACCCCTGTCATCCCAGGACTCTAGGAGGCTGAGGCAGGAGGATTGCAAGTTCAAACCCAACCTGGGCAACTTCAAGAGACCCTGTTTCTTGGGCGTGGTGGCGCACACGTTATCTCAGCTCTTGGGAGGCTGTAAACAGGAGAATCACTACAAGTCTGGTCTAGTCCTGAACACCCTGTAGACCCTTCCTTAATATATGAGAGAGAGAGAGAGAGAGAGAGAGAGAGAGAGAGAGAGAGAGAGAGAGAGAGAGAGACCCTGCCTCAAAATACAAATTTAAAAATAGGGAGATTGGGGCCAGGGAGATGGCTCAGTGGAATAAGTGCTTCCCTGACAAGCGCAAGGGCCTGAGTTCAATGGCCGGTTCCGCCAAAAAATAAAAAATAAATAAAAATAGGGAAGGGGTTGAAGGGTGGGGAGAAGGCTGGGAAATAAACTGAGTCAAGGAACATCATGTACAGGTATAAATTCCCTTTGATGAATGTGATCATTATGTAAACCTAAAAGGTACCATGAACTTAATCAATTAAAAATAAGTGAAAAAAGTTACCTTTCCTCAAAAATACAAATAAGCCAAAGAGAAACAAAATAAAATCTCATATCCCTGATTAAGAAATCTGAAAAAAAATAGGGGAATTAAGGATGTAGCTCCGGGGAAGGGACCTGGGTTCACTCCCCAGTATTGGCAGGGAGGGAGGGAAGGAAGGGACAGGGGGAAGGAAGAAGGAGCAAGCCTAGAACAGCCTGTTCCAAGCCTGCCCCATTTCTGTACCCTGGAAAATCCGGAGGCCTTTGTCCTTGTCATCGCACCATGCTCGTGGGAGATGGCCGGCTAAGGCCCACAGAGAGGGGCAGCCAGGGCTTGAGCCTGGCTTTGTGTACCCCTCCACCTCTGCCAACTGAGAGGTGTGTGCGTATGAGGAGCCACCTGGGCAGCATTGCATGGGCTAGGGACACTTCCCAAGAGCCAGGCTAGGTGCCTGGTACAGTGGCAGGTGTCGGGGGTGGGGACCGCATGCAGTGGCACTGCACAGGTTATGTGCGTGCATGGCTGTGCCGGGATCCAGATGGGGCGTTGAGCGCACACTCACTGCCTCAGAGGCTGGGAGGAGGGTGCCTGGTTGCTGCAGCAGCTCAGGCCATGTGGAAACACAGCCAGGAATGGAGCTGGCCTGGGCCTGGGTGGAGAGCAGACAGCCAGGTGGCCAGCTGGGCGAGGGGATGGGGGCTGGGGCCTGGCAGGGCCTGGCCCCCAGCAGTATGCATGCACTTCTACAGCAAGGGTGGCTGCTTGGGGGTGTGGCTGTGTCGTCTAAGTGGGGCACAACTAGGTGAGCACGTGCAAGCCCAGCCAGGAGTGGCAGGTGGGGGAGGAGGAAGAGGGTGGGGTATCCCTGGCTCCCACAGGCCCCCAGGGAGGAAGCCACTCTTACTAGGGTGCAGTTAGCCCTGCCCAGCCCCCGCCCCACACCCTCCATTCCCGGCCGTCATCTCTGGCACCGGCTGCCCTACAGAGGAGGGGCAGGAGGAGCTTGGTCTCAGTTTCTCCAGTCGCGGGTGAGGCACCATGGGGCAAAGTGACCTCCAGCACAGAAATCCCAGGAAGCAAAAGTCCCAGGCAGTGAGCCCTGGGGACAGGGGCGGGCCCAGCTGAGGACCGGCTGAGGCGGGTTCAGGGCCCAGGAGTGGGGGGCAGGAGTCCTGGGGACGGATCAGGGAAGCCCAGGAGCAGGCAGGGAAACAGGAACCTACTTCCCGGTGGCAGCAGCCCAGGCAGTGGTAGTGGGGGGAGGCTGGGGGAGGGGGAGGAAGTGTGGGCGGGGCGGGGCGGGCGATGGAGAGCAGATCGGTCGCCTGGGCCACCTTCACACTGCTGCCCTACTGCCCAGAAGCCTGCAGCTCGGCCAGGTAAGAAGTTTTGAGGGCCCCAGGTGCACACCTGACTCCTCCTGCCCAGTCCCCAACCCACCAGCCAGTCCAGGTCCCCTGTGCTATCTGGATGCTTCCAGGCCCCAGCCTGACTGTCCCCCTGATCTCCTCTGCCCAGAACGGGGCCCAGGCTGGACCCCATCCCACACGCACACCCTCACAGGCACCTGCACCCTGGCGCCTCCCTAAGGGCCCCTGTGCCAAGAAACTGGGCCACCAGGCTGGCCCCCAAGTGGAGGCTACATTCGCTGTCGCTGGACACTGAGGATACCTGTGGCCACCCCACTATGCTCTTGGCCACCACCACCTCCGGTAAGGAGAGATGAGCAGGCTTTCCCAGTCCCCGCAGCCCTCTTTTGCCATCCTGTGGGAGTAGGGGTGGGGTAGGGGGAATGTGGGCTGCCCTCATCTCCCACAGATCCCCACAGCCAGGATCCCTCTGTTGGAAGTGGGAAGTGGGTGGCAGGGTGGCAGTCATATCCCTTGGGCCAAGGGACCCCTGCCCCACACCCTCACTAACTTGGCCTCTCTCTTGCCCAGCAGTGCCTGGGCCCCTCCCCCTGCTCAGCAACAGCAGCCAGGAGCAGCCCCTGGATGCCCGGGATCCGCTGCTAGCAAGGGCCGAGTTGGCCCTTTTGTCCACTGTCTTTGTGGCCGTGGCTGTGGGCAACGGCCTGGTTCTGGGGGCCTTGGTCAGGAGGGGCCGGCACGGACGCTGGGCTCCCATGCACGTCTTCATTGGCCACTTGTGCCTGGCTGACCTGGCAGTGGCTCTGTTTCAAGTGCTGCCCCAGCTGGCCTGGGACGCCACTGACCGCTTCCGAGGGCCTGATGCCCTGTGCCGGGCTGTCAAGTACCTGCAGATGGTGGGCATGTACGCGTCCTCCTACATGATCCTTGCCATGACGCTCGACCGTCATCGTGCCATCTGCCGCCCCATGCTGGCCTACCGCCACGGGGGCGGAGCTCGCTGGAACAAGCCGGTGCTGGTGGCCTGGGCCTTCTCACTGCTTCTCAGCCTGCCACAGCTCTTCATCTTTGCCCGGCGTGATGTGGGGGACGGCAGTGGGGTCTTTGACTGCTGGGCACACTTCGCAGAGCCCTGGGGCCTCCGTGCCTACGTCACCTGGATCACCCTGATGGTGTTTGTGGCGCCAGCCCTAGGCATCGCTGCCTGTCAAGTTCTCATCTTCCGGGAGATCCATGCCAGTCTGGTGCCTGAGCCATCCGAGAGGGGGTGCCGCAGAGGGCACCGGATGGGCAGTGCCAGAGGAGGCACACGTGTGTCAGCAGCCATGGCCAAGACCGTGAGGATGACGCTGGTGATTGTGATCGTCTACGTGCTGTGCTGGGCGCCCTTCTTCCTCGTGCAGCTGTGGGCAGCGTGGGACCCCCAGGCACCTCGGGAAAGTGTGTGTGGCTGTCCGTGGGGGCGGCTTGGGCACAGCTGTGCACAGCAGGCGCCCTGACCCCAGCTGGGCTCTCCAACCCACAGGGCCCCCCTTCGTGCTGCTCATGCTGCTGGCCAGCCTCAACAGCTGCACCAACCCCTGGATCTACGCATCCTTCAGCAGCAGTGTGTCATCAGAGCTGCGCGGCTTACTCTGCTGTGTCCGGGGCCGTGCCCCATCTGGCCTGGGACCCCAAGATGAGTCCTGTGCCACTGCCAGCTCCTCCCTGGCCAGGGAAGCTTCCTCCTGAGGCAGTAGTGGGTGCTGGACTTGCAGGCTCCCAAAGCCCAGCTGTGCGCCTGGGGCTGGCTCCAGGGCCGTGTTGCTGCCACACGGTGTGGCCCTGGCCTGAGCCCCTTCTGGCCTTACCTTCTCCAAGCACTCAAGAAGGCTGGGGGGCTCCAAGACTGTGAGAGCCCCTTAGGCGAGCTCCTCCGTGCATGATGTGGGGACAGATGGGGTCTCAGGTGGCAGGGGACACAGGCAAACGCCCCCATGGAGCGTTCGACATGGAGATTCACAGGAGTCAGAGAGGGAGCATCTCTTGATCTGTACCTCTTTATCCATCCCTTCTCTGTCCCTCATTAAAATCACAGTTCCTTTTCCATACTACAGGTTGTGTCCTGGGACAAGCTATGGCGTGTACACACTAAGACCCCTGTGTGCCAGGCCCCTGGGCCCCAGCATAGGCTAGCAAGGCTTCTGAGGGCAGGTCTCCAAGTGGCACAGCTCCTGAGGGACAGATTATGCACCTGGCCTCCGGCACACACACGATAGACACTCAGGGAATTGTGCATAGGGCTTTATGAGTCATGCAGGACCCTGCCAACCAGCCCCAGGCAGAGCTGAGGGTGAGGACAAGCAGGGGGCCCAGGGAGAGGGGGATAGCCCTGGGGTCCCATCCCTCAGTGTGGCTTGGGGGCTGAGTCTGGGCCCTGTAGATTCAGGGCAGAGGGGGAAACAGGGCCTACGGGCCCCCGCGCAAAGCCTTTGTTCCTGCCAAGCAAACCACCACCACCACCTGGGGACTTTGGGCTGCGTGGCCCAGGGCTAGTGGCGGTTGCCTGGCGCATGGTGGCCTTTCCCAAAAGCTCCTTGAACACCGAGTCCATGTTCTGTGTCACAGCCTGGGGGAGGATGGGCAGAAGCATTGGGTCATGGTGCTGCCCCGAAAGCCCTGGTGGCCCTGTCCCCAGCCTCCCCACTCGCCAGTATGATGCAGTGCCGTGCCTCTTCTGAGGACAGCAGCTCCTGGCCATGGCCCGGAAGTGGGGTCTGGCTGGCTGGGCCCTGGACCTCCCATCCTCTCCCTTTCCTGACGCAGATGGCAGACTGCTTCTGTGGTCTCTAGGGCCACTGGTATGTTGTGGCCTCCCAGGTCAAGGTCCTCCTCTGGGCTTCCACTGTGCCAGTCTGTCAGGCTCCTGGCCCTGCATATCCATCCTACCCATCCCACTCTCTCTAGGCCAGGGCATTGGGCCACAGTGGGGACACCAGCATACTCTTGCATGCCTTTTCTCAGCTTCCATGACTGTCCCAAGGCTTCTCTCCTGAGGGCTGACCCCCCATGCTGTGCACCAGACTCTGGTCCCGAGCCCACTATGCTCCCTCGGGCAGCCTCCCCGTCCCCCTCTCTGCCATCTGTCTCCCATCCTCCCTGGTGTGACAAGCACCTGCCATGTCACTGCCTGTCATTTAGCCTGGCTCTTACTGCCAGGTGTCCCTTGCCCTGTGCTAGCCTAGAGTCTGGGCTCATCCCTGCTCTGTGCCCCTGCCCTCCTGGGTGGAGGTACTCCTAGACTATGGCCACCACAGAGCAGGCTGCAGCCTTCTCAGAGGACAGGATGGGACATCAGGCTTAAGGACGGGATGCTGGGGCCATGCCTCACCTTATCTACCTCCACATGTCGTTCCGGGGAAGTTGGCAGCAAGCAGCGTCGTCCTTGGCCAGAGGGGCCCATGGCCTCAGGAGCGGTGCTTGGCTCCAGTCTGCAGGGCAGAGACAGTGAGTGTGACAGGACCCTGGGAAATTCCCATCTATGCCAAGGCCATGAGAGGGCCCCAGGAGGCTCCAGGTTCCTCTGAGCCTGTGCCTCTTGAGGCCAGTCAGGCTCAGTTCAGCCCTCCCTTCTCCCTCATATGAGCACCTTGTCTGCTGCCTGAGGAATGAGGGGTACTGTCTTGTCCTTGCCCAGCCTGAACAGCCTTACTCACCCCTCAGGCAGTGTGATGTACTTGTGTGGGATGAGCCCACGAATACCACCATGCTCCCCACGCCACCAGTCGCTCGAGGCACGTGCATGCAGCCTCAGCGTATCCCCACGCTGGAAGCTCAGCTCCTGCGCCGTGCGGCCTGTATACCCGAAGCAGGCCACTGCCTCCATGACGCCTTCGGGGTCTGCGGAGGAGAGAAGGGTGCAGGTGGGCGGTGCAGTCACCAAGGAGGAGAGCATGGCAGGCTGTACCGCCCTGCCCCTCACCATCCTCCGGGGCTGAGGTGCCACCTTCCTGCTCCAGCTCAGTGTCCCCCGTGAGGCTGTCCAAGTGCATGTCCCTGAGGCAAGAGCATGCAGAGGGTGAACCCTCCCGCCCCCGTGCCCAGACCCCGGGCCCCTGGGAGCTGGGGCTAAGGGAAGCGCACCCCAGGCACTCGGCAGTGGGCGGCGCCATGCACTTCTCATAGATGGGGCCGGGCAGCAGGGCCGGGGCCGGGAAGACTCGCGCGGGCTGCACAATGAGAGTCTGCACCAGCTGGTTGACGCGGCCCTGCAGGGCCACCGGGTCCTGCCCACTGGGCACGGGCAGCAGCGTGGGCCCGAAGCACACCGCCAGGTTGTAGGGGTCCATCATGTTCTCGTCGCTGTACTGGGACAGGCTGGGGGACAGGCGGATGGGTGCTCCCGTGGGTGCCTCAGCCCCCTGCCCCGGCCCGGCCCCAACCCCACCCCACCCCTGTAGCACTCACTGGTTGAGGAAAGTGAAGAGGTAGCGCAGCACCACCAGCACCGGGCTGGGGAGCCGCGCCAGCAGGAGGCCCACGGGCTGCACGTGCTCAGCCACAGCCTCAGTCTCTGCAGCCCAGAGCCCGGAGAGGTGGTGAGTGAGTGTGCCCATGCCACTGGGACCTTCCCCAGCGGCTCCTCTCTCCTCCCCTGCAGAGGCCAGCAGCTCCACCACCAAGTCCTCAGGGAAGAGTGGGGGCTCAAGGCTGCGAAAGTACAGCTTAAGCACACCGGCCACTGAGTCCAGGTCATGGGGTGTGCAGCCCTCCATCAGGGGGTCCTCCCCTGTGGGTACAAGGTACAGTGAGGGCCAGCCATGCCCACCAGCCCATGCCACCCGGAGCCCACCCGCCCATCTCCACCTCTCTCAAAGGCATCACGAATCTCTGTGATCCGAGGCTGGGCACCGGACACCCGAAAGATGCCCTCGTGCTGGAGGCCTGTGGAAGACATGTGGTCAGGTGCCAGGGTCCCCTCCCCTGGGACTGGCCCACAGCAGGCGAGGCACCTGCCCCCAGTGCCACATCAGGAAGGGCTTACCATTGAGGTTGATGAAACGGATGCAGCTCTCCACCACCAGGGGCACGGGTTGGCCTGAGCTCTGAGGACAAGACAGGCAGGGTGCCACTTCACAGGGAGGCATGCAGTACCACTTTGCCCTGACCAGTGTACTATGGCCAAGTTTGTGACACTTCCTCCTAAAGGCCCACTACTTCCCTTTTTTAGATATTTTGAGACAGGGTCTCACTATGTGGTTCAGGCTGGCCTTGAACTTACTATGGTACCCCAGACTGGCCTTGAACTCACAGAGCTTCCTGCCTCAGCCTCCCGAGTGCTGGGACTACAGGTGTGTGTGTCACCATGCCTGGCATAAGTATCTGGTATTGCTGATGCTAATTTAGGTAGTGCCTTACATTTTATTTGCCAATTGTTGCTGGAATGTAAAACGCAATCAAAATCTGGAGGCTGACCTTGAATCAAGTAACACTGCAAACCCAAATTTGTTAATTTAGAGTTTGATTCTTTTGAACGTTCTATATACATAATCACATTGTCAAAAATAACAGGTTTGGGAGCTACGGCGATAGCTCAGTAGAACAAGTGCTTGCCTGCAAGCACAAGGGCCTGAGTTCAATCCCTGCTTCTGCCAAAAAAAAACCCAAACAGGTTTATTTTTTCTTTTTGGACACCTCCTCCACACTTCTGGTAAGCTGGAGGTCAGACCTAAGGCCTCAGCCCTGACTAACACCCCTGCCCTTCTGCAGTTTGGAGACAGGGTCTCACTAGACCCATAAATTATTGCCCAGCAACTGGGCTTGAACTTTCAATCCTCCTGCCCCAGCCTCCCCAAGTGCTGGAATGACAGGGGTGCATCATGGTGCCTCGCTTTGGGTCCCTCTCTACCCCTGTATTTCACTATCCAGGATCCCCAGAGCTGTACATGCAAGCCAGAAGTGGGACCTAGGGGCATTGGTGGCGATCCCAGGTCAGGGTGACCCTCAACACAGGCCTAGGAGAGCTCATGGGGTGCAGTTGATCTCCAGTGGGGACAGAGGACATGAGGTCAGGTGGCTGCTTGGCCAGAGCTGAGAAAGCACAGAAGAACAGGGCTGGCCTGCGGCCCTGTGCAGTGTGGACCATGCACATGCCTGGATGAACTTCTCCATGTCGCCTCCAAAGAGTTTCTGCTTATACTGTGAGCTGGGACGTAGCTGGCGGCTCTTCTGGACTTTTCTTTGTGAGTACTGGGTCCTGCAGTGAAGGAGACCTGGCTTAAGGAGCAGGCACAGGACAGCTTGGCCCCCCACACCTGCCAGGCCAGACCCTGCACCTCCTAGGCTATTTGCTTTTGAGACGGGCTTCGAACTCAGGCTCTCTCAGGCTTTTTGGCACTGCACAGGGGCCGCAAGGCACCAGGAACAGGGCGGGGTTCCATGAAGAGGCTGGGCATTTGGGGGGGACTCACCAGGGGGTCTCTTGCTGCTCTTTGTCACCTGGGGAGGAGAAAGCATTGCTGGTCTGCCTCATGGGGGGAGGCGTTCAGTGGGCTCAGTGAGGGGCTGGGACAGGCTGAGGTTGAGCTGTTGCCGGGCTGTCCCCATGTGCCAGGCTGACGGGGCAGGGAGGGAGGGAGAGCAGCAGCACACCTCGCTCTATGGCCTCCTGAAGCTTCTCGTGCTTGGCCTGCAGCTTGGCAAGGATACTGCGTCCACTCAGGTATTCCTGCAGCTTCTGGGGAGTCCAAGAAGAGCCCCAAGTTTCAGATGTACATGGCCCATGCTGCCCCGCCACCCAGCAAGTTCATCCAGGTATGTGCCAACCGTGATGTAGAAGGTCTCTGTGTCCTGCTGCTGGCCCCGCTTCCGGCCCACCTGCCGCCCACCGGAGTCGGAGCCAGTGGACCGAAGGGACTCTGTGGACGGGCTGCTCTGGAAGGAGTCAGGCATGTCCCCATCATCCGATGTCACCAACTCCAGCAGGGCCTGAAGCGTCGCCTTCAGCGTCTTGTTCACCTGGGGGATAGACAAGGCTGGCAGGTGGAGGCCACACCAGCAGAAAAGGTGGGGAGTCAGTGACAAGGCCCTGAGGCCCAGCCCTGGCCCTGCCCTCTTCACACCTCCTCTGTCTCAATGGTCTGCTGGTCCAGGCGGCTCCGGATGTTCTGGGCCCTAGGTACAATCTCGTCCCGAAGCTCCAGCTCAACCTGGATTTCAGCCACCTGCAGGGACAGTGCCAGGGCTGACATGAACACCCCCAAGAAATGCCCCTGGGGAGCACAACACACTGCTTGCTTGTGACACTTGAGAGAGGGGAACTGACTCAGTGGGAAATCACTCAGCCCCCACGGGGAGAAATACAGATGTGGGAGTGGGTGCCAGGGATGGCTCCTGGCTGGGTGATGGAACTACAAGTTATGAAGGGACTAAAACCACTGAACTGTGCTGCAGACTGAATCCATCTCCAGCCTTTTTGTTGTGGGACACAGTCTCGCTGTCACTAGGCTATCCAGGCTGCGCTCCAACCTACCGTCTTCCTGTTCCAGTCTCCCAGAGTGCTGGGGTGATGGGCATTGCTAGTACACCCAGTTTGAATTATATATTTTTAGTGACTCAGTAGTATGTGTTACACCTCAACTAGCTGTCTATTTAAAGCCAAGAATGGCCAGGAGAGCCAGGCCGTGAGGCAGGAGGGTCCCGGGAGCAGAAAGGGCAGAGCGACAGTGCCTGCCTGTGGGTGTACAGCTGCAGGGGAGAGTTTCAGGAAGCCAGGGGCTCTAGTACCTAGAGAAATCGTGAATGCAGGCGAGGGCGACGAGCATGTTCGCTCTGGGTTTGGACCCCAATGCCAAAAAGACACAAACATCTTTGTACCAGGAAAACTCTGTGATTATAGCCTGAATGGTATTGCAATTGTGGTGCACGCCTGTTATTCCAACACTTAGAAGGTTGAGGCAGGAGGGCTGCTGGGAGTTCTCAGCCAGCCTGGCCTACACAGCAAGACCCTGTCTAAAAGAAAACAGATGGGGCTGGTGAGATGGCTCAGTGGTCTGGAGCACCTATTTAGAACAAGCTTAGCAAAGCACAGGGACCGCGGTTCAATCCCCCAGTACCACATGCCAGCCAGCCCCGCCCCCTGGTAGGCTGAGCTGGCCACACACACACACACACACACACACACATAAATAAATAAAATTTAAAAAAATAAAAGAAAACAGAGGCTAAGATTTTTTTTTTAAAGCATGAGGATGTAGCAAGCCCACTGCATGGCGCTGCGCAGGGCGAGCCATGGAAGACAGCAGGAGAATCCCAGCTCAGCCTACGGCATGGATGACCAGGAGGCAATGGAATCCACTGCGAAGCGGCTGGAGCAGCGAGTTGGCCCGAGACCTAGGCCCTTGCCTGGAGACGGGCACTGGACTCAGACTAAGCGAACCTCTGTGAGTCACTGTCCTGGCTGAGGCCTCAGAGGGTAAGATAAGGCCCCAGCTGAGGACACTTAGCTCCAATCGCAATTAACTGAAAGGAGCCCAGAGCTGCAGACTTCTCACTCCTGCGGGGAATGGGGAAGGCATTCCGGAGCTAACACAGCTCTCCTCCACTAACCTAACGGGGCTGGGGAGATAGCTCAGTAGAAGAAGCGCAAGCGCGAGGGCCTCAGTTTAATCCCCAGTTCCACCAAAAAAAATAAAATCATAAAAAATAACAGATTACTGAAGAAGTCCTTGAAGGGACTCCCGAGTCCTGTTGGATCCCTACATTTTCTTCAGTATCCCCTGGCTTTGAAAAGCTAATAAATGTGGGCTGCCCAGAGTTTTTTGTTCTAAAACCCAGGAAATCTCTGTGAGAACATTAGGGTCCTTCTGGAGCCCTGAAATCACTGTATTTGTCTCTAATAGGTTTTGGCCCTAGTACAAATTGCTGAATTATTATGGCGGTCGTCTAATATGGCTGAAGCCCTAAAACAGCTTATCTTCCCAGAGACCACCTCCCCCTTCTTCTCCAGCCCATCCTGGATACAACTTCCTTTCACTTTTCCCTGCACAAGGGAAACCCCAGTCAGCCCCTTAGGTGTTACTAAACCTGCTCCTCAAACTCCACCCCTACTGAAAGTTCAGTCTCAGCTTCCCCT